ACACACACACACACACACACACACACACACACACTCTCTCTCTTCCCAGCCTGCCATGGCCTCAGTGAGGCCAGATAGTGATCTGGATGTTTGGTGTTGTGTCTGGACCAAGCAGGTTATAACACACAATACTGGGTGCTCGCCACCAGTCACCCCTCATCCAAAGGGCCTTTGTAATTCCAAATCTACACTGGGGAAGATCCTCGTTACTTCTCCTTGTGAGTGAGCAAACCACCTCCTCTGCCCGGTCTCTTCCCCTTCCCTCCCTCTCCCTGTCTCCATCTCCCACTCTACACACTGTACCATTCTGACCCATTCTTCCTTCAATCTTCTCCCACTTCCTCCATCTTCTCCTTTCTGTTTCTTTCATTGAGTAATGATTCAGAGCTGTTGGTAATTAGCAATATGAATTAACTAGTTCAGCACACATATTGCAGCTGTGGTGTGGAGTCTTGCAGAGAGCTAGGGAGATGGTACTGTGCTAACAAGAGATCAGGCATCTGACTTCACTGACAACACTTCTAGTTGAATGGCACAGCTTCTAGTTGAATGGCACAGCTTCTAGTTCAATGGCATTGAAGGTTTGGGATACAGGAGAAAATTTGTTTCACTTTGAGTGACTGAGAACTCACTGTACTTCTTGGTATGTCAGTAACTAGGGAGTCACAATTTCAACGTTGTCAGCAAGAGAGCTAAGAGTGAGATGAGGAGAAACTTCTTTACAACAGAGAGTTGTTAGGATTTGGAATGCACTGCCTGGGAGAGTGTTGGAGGTAGAATCCATAGGAGGTTTCAAAAGAGGTATAAATGTTTGGATATATATTTGAAAGTTATATTTGAAGTTCGGGAGCTACAGAGAGGGGGCTGGAAAATACGATTAGCCGGATAGCTCTTTCACAAGCTAGTACAGACATGATGGGTCAAATGGCCTCCTTCTGTACCATAAAATTCTATGATTCTATGATTTTATGAAAAACATGAGCATGAGCACGAGCACCAATTGTGATTCATTAACCATTTGCATACAATCAGCTGCAATTTGAAATATTGTGTGGTATTAAAAACTCAGTGGTTTGTTGAAACATAAAAATGTGAAGGAGCTTTTGGGTGCTGGTAAATGATTGTATGGTATTAACCAGGGGAGTTGTATCAACCTAGAGTTCAGTCCAGTTGATAACAGAATCCAACTCCTTACTGTTTTCTTTCGGCCTGATCATTATCCTTACAAAGAATCATTAGTGATTCAAGCCCAGGACTGACTTTAAGTTAAAGGCACAGCAGCCTCTGGGGTCAGTGACCTGAGGATGGGTGTAGAGGGAGGTATGGCTGGGGGCTAAGGGGATTAGGAAGGGTCTGATGGATGGTGGGTAGGCTGGTGGAGTGGATGTGATAAGGGAGTGTGGATAGAGAGCAGTGGGGACAGGAAAGTGGAATGAAGTGGACTGGAGGAGAGGGAATTGTTGGATGAAGTGGAAGAAGATGGATAGGAGTGTGATGGGATTGGGTTGGCAAGCAGGAAAAAGGAAGGTCTATGAGTGTGGTGAGGGGAGCAGGCGAGTGGGATGGGGTTCACACGAGTCAGTGTGTTATCAGGGACTACCTATCCGTTGGAAAAATGCTCAGCTTCTGATTGATTTTATGAAATGCCAGGTTAGCAGGGAGTTTGAGACAGTGAATGAATGGGAGACTTTACCTGGTTTTAGAGTCACTGATACTCACTGCCCTGGGATTTGTAATTATTTACTCTATCTGTTCTCTCCATTCTCGCTACATCCAACCTGTTGTTTGTTGCAGTGTGTGAGTTTGCTGGTCATCACTACAGAGAAGGTGAAGATTTCTACCCAGATGGAAGCAGGTGTATTAAATGTTCCTGCACTGTGAGTATAGACAAATCATTTCTTTCTAACTGGCCCTATGTTTCTCAGTGTGGGCAGGGTGCTGCTTTAGAACAATTGCCACCTTCAGTCAAAAGGAAAGTGTCAAAAGAAATAAGTCTGACACTTCCAGGACATATGCATTACACATATGTTTTAGTACACTGTGATCACAATTAGCCTCGATCCCAATTCACCAGCATCCCTATTCCCCTCAATCACCATTAACTGCGAACCCCATTAATCTCAATGCCCACTCTCCTTGATACCCATTCCCACAGATCAAGGGTGAAAACACTTTCCTTTTGGGCTACTTATTGACTTTACAGTGACATCCTTATGATTTTTAGAGGCTTCTTTTTCATACTCATTAACTCCTGCACTAGATGACTCAGTTATGTAATATCACTGTTTCCCGTATTTATGTTAACATAAGGGGTATTTGCACTTTCACTGAAGCAGAATTAGAAGAAATCATCAATATCTTCAATAGTCATTACTGCTTTAAACAAAAGTCACAGTACGCAAGGAAAGCATTAGTTTCCTTGGCTCCACAGTATTTAAATTGCTACAAGACAATGAATAGGCATAAGTTAACAACTGTTTTTGAATAGCTGACATGCATTTTATTTGTAAAAACCCATCACCCTTAACATGCTGCGGCCATAGCTAAATGGTTGCATAGCTTTCTCTAACACAGTCAGTGCATCTCAAGTGATTTGCAGTATGTGAAATGGTTTGAGATACATTAACACATAAATGGAAATTCTTACGAAATAAAATTGTTCAGCATTAAATTGTTCAATTGGCAGTATTCATAACATTTGCACCCAGTACATTTTCCCATATAGTAGCTCCTTAAATTCTGCAGCCTTAAGCTAGAGACTCCACATTCATTTCTAAGGAAGCCATTACTTCAGTGAATTCAAGTTTTCCTGGTTACCAGTTCATTGAATATTGTTGAATGGTATTCATTTTCCTTTGCAGCCCATCACTGACCTTTGTAGCTCCTCATTCCCTCTTCCTCCCTTTGCAGCCCCTCACTCTGCTTTTCAGTCCATCAGTCCTGTGTGCAGACTTTCATTCCACTTTGCAAACCTTCACTCCTGTTTGGAGCCCTTCACTCCTGTTTGCAGCTGTTCAGCCCCCTTCCCCTTTCTTCCTTTCGATCCCTCTCATCCATTTGCTGGCCCCCTTCATCCCTCATTGCAGCCTCATTTCCACTCATATCCCTGAGAACTCTAACCTCAGCAGCCTCTTGTTCTCACACCTCCATACTGGGAGCCTTGGCTTTGCCAACTTGACTTTCTGCTGTAGCCCTCATCCTACAGTCACTAACCTCACCAGCCTACATTCCCCCCCATGGTGTTCCCCCTTTGTTAACACCACTCTTCCTTCAGTCTTGTTTCCATTGACTGAGCTATCTTGCTTCCTGCAGCAACTCACCTTCTCTGTGCTGCTGAAATCACAGGCTGCTTCTCTCCTGAGGTTGGGATGAGAGGTTATATTGTTCATTGCATGGAGCAGTTGTATTGTTCACCATTAAGATGAAGTGTTGCTCAGTGTAATGCTGCCCACACGATCCCTTGAGGGGTTAAAGCCAGTTGTGTTCCTGTTAGACCTGTGCTAATGATATGTTTTCAATCACTGCCACTTTGAACCCATGCATCTGCCCCATTACAGCTTCCCACACTACCATTACTGGCATTCCTCTCTTTACAAGCACCAGATTAGATTTCATGAATCTTAACATTTGACCCAAATGTTTCTTCTGCAGTCAGATAAGATTTGCTGCTCTCAGTCTCTCTCCCCTCGAGTTCAAGCAGTCTCTGCACAGAACGATAATGTCACTCTCAACTCACTTGACAAAGTATCATCTCATTAGCAGACATACATGCACACCCACCAGAGATAGGACAGTGTTCTCATTGTAAATCAGATACTGCACAAGATTTAAGGAGTTATTCTGGGAGGTGACTTGGAGATAAATCAACTTTTCCTGTGAGATTTTCACTGTCAATTTCCTCATTCCTATATGGCAGGGTTTTGACTGGGCCAGTTTTAATTGCTGCTAGAAACTTTTCGATCATTAATCCTAGGCCCAAGGAACTACTGAAACAAGACATTGTTCATCACATGAGCTGGTTCACCTTCAGGGTGACCAGATTTCACAGCTAACATTCACTCTGTCTTGAGGCAAATGACCTCAGCAGAAGATAAGAAATTTTGGATCATGTAATTTTTTGTTTGATCAACTCCTGTTCCCACCTTTTCCCTCAATCTTCACCTTCACATCTTCTCCCCTCTGGAATACAGGAAGAAACATAGGAGCAGGAACAGACCACTCAGTCTTTTGAGCCTGCTCCGTGCAATTCTAGATCGTGGCTTTTCATTTATCCAATGCCATATTCCCACAGTATTCCCACTTCCCTTGATATCTTTTGAATTCTCCAGCACTGGAGCCAAATGGCTTTGAGAAGAAATTTTGCAACATCTGAAACTTCTACTGTCAGCCAACAGAATATCAAATGAAACATTTTGTTCCTTCTGTGTATCATATAATCATGATCTCAGTAGTGTTACAACAACATTCTCTCACTTAATCTGCACAATCATAAGTTAACGTTCATGGCAAAGTACAATATACATTTTACTGTTACTGTATCCCTATAAACAAAGAGACTGTGATCTATGGTTGAACTGGATAACCAGCAATAACATTGTCCAAGTTCCTGACAGTAATTGTGGCTCTGCACTCCATACTTTCATTCCCAGACAAATATCCAAATTCAGTCTTAGTTAACCCAGCCCTTGTGCCTTTCCTTGAGAATAAAGGGTCTGTCTAATTACTGACTGATACTGGCAAGTTCACAGTAAAGATGCAACTCTTTGTGTGGAATACTCGAATATGGGGCTTACAACTGGTGTGTCCCCTTCCCACCACCGTCATAACTGCCACTGTCTGTAATAAACTTACTGTCTGCCTTCAAGAATGTTAAGAATATGAAACAATAAACAGAAAGCTTGATCCTTCAGCTGCCTTTCCACCTCTAACCACCTTCCCCATCCCTTTTCTGCCACATCATTGATACCCTTTCTACGTTCCCATTCCCTCACTCCTATCCCATTCCTTGCACAAACCACTTTTGCCCACACCACTTTCCACATAATCCCACTGCTTCTTCCTCTAATTTTCTCCCCACTCATCCATCTGACTCCTTCCCCAACCCCTCCCATATATTCATGCTAATCCTCCCCGTCCTGTTTGGGGATTGGGAGGGGGTGTGTGTGGTGATTCTGGGCAGAGGGAAGCAAACGATAAGAAACTCTGCAGTTTCTGTTGTGTGGTTATCGATCAGCAAGAGCCAGTTTCCTGATCGGTTATGGAGTCTCTAACCCTTTAACTCATTGAGATGCTCAACAGCAGATTTTGCTCACACATATTTATTAGGGTAGTAAGTTCATTCAACTATCATTGATGAAAATAGCCTGCTCAGCTTGGATCATTTTCAAATTTTAATGGGTGCTGCCTGGTGAATGTGAGTTATTACACTTAAAGGAGTTTTTTCCATTTGTAGCTCTCTGCTTGAGACCTGCCACCAGTACACATACTGTATATATTCAATTCAATAAACAGGTCATTCCTGTTGATATAAACATCTGTGTGAAGCAAATAAAAGGGACTTTACTTCAATCCAAATATCATTTTGTGCCAATGATGTGTTCCTCAATCCCACAGTATTAGGATTCTCGAATTCCCAGGAATTGGAGTGTGGGAAGAATATTAAATGCTTAATCCTTACAGCACAGAGGGAAGACATTCAGGTCCTAATGCTATCTAATTGGTCCCAATCACCCTGCTCTTTTCCTAGCACCCTTTTCCTTTCAAGTATTAATTCAGTATCTTTGTGAAAATTCCAATAAATCTGCTTTCACTGCCCTTTCAGGCAGCACTTTCCAGATTATAATAACTTGTTGCTTATAAAGATGCTCTTTGTCATCCTCTTTTCTGTTCCCAATTGGACTTAACCCTGTATCCTTCTGCTTACTGAACTTCCTGCCACTGGAAACAGTTAATCCTTAATCTGGGTGTGAGTTTGCACACAAGTTCCTGAAAACAGAAAAATGGGATGAACTGTCCTGACAACTTGTTTGACCAATTCTGGCTAATTCATTGTGAGATCTGCAAATTACAAAAGGTAACAATTTATACAAAGCATCAGCCTTTCCAAGACTGCGATACAGAGAGCCAGAGCTGAGTCTGTATGATTTAGAGTGATGTTGTCCCTTTGGCATGTCAATTCAGATTATAGAGTTTGGTCTCTGCAGGGAGAACCCCTGAGTCAACCTGACAGTTTCCTGGTAATTACAAGGTCTCATTCATTAATAATTTCTGACATTATCTGCATGAAATGACTGACGGTTGTGATCTGATTGTATACAGGGTGGCACACTGCACTGTTTCCGGGAACTATGTCCCATCCTCTCCTGCCCGCAGCACCTCAGTCATGTGCCACCTGGAAAATGCTGCGCCAGATGTTTAGGTGAGTGGATTCCATTTCCCTGCATCACTGTAAGAATTTCTTTTTATTCAATTACACGTGAGGTGTTTTTTAAAAGCGCAAAATCCAGGTCCCTGTATAACCTAATAACTGTAATAATATTGTAATTAATTTTATGCCATTATGGCAAGTTAATTTTAAATGTACTTCCAAATTAACAGAGTGAAGAATTAATCAGTAACCATCAGGAAGGACTGAACAAACTGAGGATGTTTTCTCTGGGAAATAGGAGAGGGGGGATCTGACAGAGGTTATTAAAATTATGGAAGTGAACGATAGGGTAAACACAGAGAAGATCTTTCCACTTGTGAGAGAGACGAAAGCTAGGGACCGCCAATAGAAGACAGCCTCTGATAAATGGAATAGTGAATTCAGAAAAAATCCTTTTAGCCAGTCAGCTGTGAAAATGTGGAACTATTTATCACAGGAAATGGCTGAGGTGAATCGTGTAGATGCATTTAAGGGAAAACTAGATAAATACATGAGACAGAAAAGAATAGAAATATATGTTTAACCAAAGATGCCATTGATGCAATAATTATAGAAAACCTTGGTTGGGAAGATCAGGGTGTAGAATTGGTTTGGTTAGAGATAAGGAATACTGTAAGATGTCACCAGCAGAAGTGATCTCCAGGCCCTCTAACAGTACCCTCAATGTAGACTGAAGTAAGGAGGAATGTTGACTGCTTGTGATAAAGGGATAGGAATAAACACACACGACTTTAATCCACATATAAACTGGAAAAATCAGATGGCAATGGTAGCCCGAATGAGAGAGTTTCTTAGAGCAGCAACTTCTAGAACAGACCAGAAAGTAGGTTATATTAGACTTGATAGTGTGTAATGTGTTAGAATTAGCAAACTACCTCAGTGTAAAGGCAGCGACAACAATATGATTGCATTTTATATTCAGGTTTGAGAGGGAGAAGAGTGTGTCTCGGCCTAGTATTTTAAACTTAAATAAGGGCAAATATGTGGGCATGCAAGCTAAACTGGCTGAAGTGAACCTGAATGCTAGGCTCAGAGACAGATCAATACAGAAACAATGGCAGACATTTAAGGGGATATTTCAGAATATTCAGAATAAGTATATTCATACTATTGAGGAAAAATTCTAAGGTGAGGATCAATCATTTGTAGCTAACTAAAGAAGTTAAGGAAAATTTCAAACCTAAAGAAAATGCACATGATTATGCAAAGATGAGTGGCATGTCAAATGATTGATCATGATGTAAAGGACAGCAGAGACTGACTATAAGATTAAGCAGTAGAAAGAAATTGGAGTATGAGAGGAAGCTAGCTAGAAATGTAAAAATGGGTAAAAAGAGTTTCTATTAAAATTTAGAAAGGAGAAAATAACCAAGGTGAATGTTACTCTCTTGAGGATAAGAATGGGACGTTAATAGAAGTTAATATGAACAAATTAAATACATAAATATTTTGCTTCTGTGTTCACCATAGATCATACAAAAAGCATTCAAATAATCCAATATTCAAATTCCAAAACTCAGGAGGTGGGAGGAAGAGAGACACTTGATGAAATTACAATTACTAGGGAAGTGTTACTGTGAAAACTGATGGAGCTGTGGGCAAGCCCCCAAGTCCTGATGGACATTGTCCTAATGTCTTCAGAGAAGTGGCAAATAAGGTCATGGGTGCATTGGCATTAATTTTTCAAAGTTTGCTAGATTCTGGAGAGTTTCCACCAGACTGACAAGTTGCAAATATAACTTCTACTTTCAAGAAAGGAGGAAGGCAGGAAACTATAGGTCAATTACTTTGACAACTGTTGTAGGGATATTGTTAGAATCAAACATTAAAAAGATTATAACTGGGCACTTAGAAAGACACAAGATAATTGGAAAGAGCCGGGATGATTTTAGAAAGGGAAATAGCATTTAACCAATTTACTGGAGATTTTTGAGATAGTAACATCGCTGTGGTTGAAAGGAAACCTTACTGCAATAATTTAAAGAACCATACGGGACTTGAAATGTTAACTCTGTTTCTTTCTCCACAGATGCTGTTACATGCTGAGTTTTTCCAGCACTCTCAGATTTTATTTCAGACTTCCAGCACGACGGTATTTTGGTTTTATTGCAGATGGATACAGTACTTGGATTTCCAGAAGGCATTTGACAAGTTGTCATATAAAAGATGAGGGAAGCAAAGGCATGGCAGTTAAATTTGCAGATGACATGAAGGCAGCTGGAAAGTATATTGTAAAGAGAACATAAGGAAGTTTCTGACAGATAGATAGATAGAGTGAGTGAGAAAAATGTCTGACTGATGGTGTATAACGTAAGAAATGTAAAGTTTAACAGGGAAAGTAAAACAACACCATTATCTAAACAAAGAATGTCTGCTGAATTCTGAGGGATCTCTAGTGCACAAATCACAAAAGGTTTCTATACAGGTGCAGCATGTAATCAAGAAGACTAAAGGGATGCTATCCTTTATTAGGAGAGGAATTGAGTAGAAATTTAAGAATGCTATGCATCACTTATACAGGGTATTCGTGAGTCCATGTTTGAAAAATAAACAATTTCTTATCAATTTGTTCGAGATGTTATTAAACACCTCTGGGACAGGTGGGACTTGAATGCTGGCCTCCTGGCTCAAACGTGGAGATACTACCTCTGCACCACAAGAGCCCTCTGTTGTGAAGACTGTTTTGGTTTCCTTATTCAAGGAAGGATCTAAACATGTTGGAGGTGGTTCAGAGGAGGTTTACCAGATTGATACCTCACATGAGCAGTCTGTCTTATGAGGAATGTTTGGATAAACTCGGCTTGTTTCTTCTGGGGTTTGGAAGAGTGAGGGTTGAATTCATTGAAGCACATAGGATCCTGCCTTGACAAGGTAGATGTGGAAAGCATGTTTCCACTTGTAAGCAGGTCCAGAAATAGGGGGGAATGATGTAGAAATTAGCTCCCCTTTATGACAAAGGTGAGGAGATGTATTTTCTATCAGAGATTTGTACTACTTTAGAACTCTTTACCTTAGAAATCTAGTGGAGGCAGGGTCAATGATAATTTTAAAGGAAGACTGAGGTTTTTGCTAGGGAATCAAAGGATGTTGAGTGTAAATAGAAATATGGATTTAAGCACAAACAGATCAGCCATGATTTTAATGAATGGTGTAGCAGGCTTGATGGACCATATGGCCATGTTTTGCTTCTAATTCATATGTTTGTGAAAGGGAGAGGTGAAAAGAAGATGGGAGGAGGTGTATTTAGAGCATAAGTACTGAATAGAACAGTAGACTAAATAGCCTGATTCAGTGTTGCAGTTGATGTAATCCAGTTTAATGTATCTTTTTAGATGGTTGGTTGTTTTCCTGTTCCTTGGATGTGGAAGGTGAAATTTAATGTTAATCCATATTGCCCAGCTGTTTTATGATGCTTTCTTTGCAGGTCAGCGTCGAGTGTTTGACCTTACAGCTGGGAGCTGCTTGTTTCGCAGTGAGGTTTATGAACATAGGACAGTATTCCAGCTCGATAACTGCACTATTTGTGTGTGTGAGGTATGTGTCAACATCTTATTTCTAAACACTGACATTTTAACTTCCACATGCTGGAGAGTGAACCAGCTGCTGATCAGTGCAACTGGATGTGGCCCCAAAGTGAGGCAATTTTGGAGTTGGGGGCAGTGGCATTGATACTAGGAGTTAGCACAGGAAGAGAGACACCTGGAGAGACACCCATGCCTGAATTTTCCTAACCCTGTGGAGACAGGGTCGGAGGTGGGGATTTAGTTGGGGAGGGGAGCTGTGTTTGGATTCTGAAGGAGCTGGGATAATAGGGGTAATTCGCATTAGGATGGTTGTACAAAGCATTCCAAACCTGGGGAAATTTGCTGGGCTGGGGTTCAGATCAGCTGTGTGTAGCATGGAGGGTAACAGCCAATGAAGGTGGTGAAGGCCTCATTAGGGGTGATTTTGTAGAGACTATCAGCTCAATGGCCTCCAGCAGAGGAATGGTGGGGAGGGGCATTGGTCCCAGAGACTCAATCTCCCTTTGAAAGGGCTGCTAGCAGGAAAAGTTTCACAAATGGCTCAATAGCTCATCCAGAGGGGTTTGCCCTCCTGTTCCTGGGAACTAACAGCATTGTCCGTTATACTTCAATGTTTTCCTCACATCTCTGTCTGCCTCAGCAGGGCCTACCTATCACAGTGAAGCTGCTGAGGCTTCAGAAACTCTCCCTCAGCATGAGCTGGCACCATTGAGGGGCTGGCTGGATAGTAAGTGAGGAACAGCCAATCAGGAAACATCCTTTGGAATCATTGTTGAGCCAGTATTGCCACTGGGATCTCCTTTCAATCCCAATATCGAGTTGGAATGCCATGGATCAATCAGCCACAGGAAATTCTGGCAGTGGGATCAAGGAGGGAGATTCTGGGAATGGGATCAGGGACGGAGATTCTGGGAGTGGGATCAAGGAGGGAGATTCTGGAAGGGGGATCAGGGAGGGATTCTGGGAGTGGGATCAAGGAGAGAGATTCTGGGAGTGGGATCAGGGAGGGAGATTCTGGGAGTGGGATCAAGAAGGGAGATTCTGGGAGTGGGATCAAGAAGGGAGATTCTGGGAGTGAGATCAAGGAGGGAGATTATGGGAGTGGGATCAGGGAGGGAGATTCTGGCAATGGGATCAGGGAGGGAGATTCTGGCAATGGGATCAACAATAGAGATTCTGGACGTGGGATCAGGGAGGGAGATTCTGGGCGTGGGATCAGGGAGGGAGATTCTGGGAGTGGGATCAAGGAGGGAGATTCTGGGAGTGGGATCAGGGACGGAGATTCTGGGAGTGGGATCAGGGAGGGCGATTCTGGGAGTGAGATCAAGGAGGGAGATTCTGGAAGTGGGGTCAAGGAGGGAGATTCTGGCAATGGGATCAAGGAAGGAGATTCTGGGAATGGGATCAGGGACGGAGATTCTGGCAATGGGATCAAGGAGGGAGTTTCTAGGAATGGGATCAGGGATGGATATTCTGGGAATGGGATCAGTGAGGGAGATTCTGGGAGTTGGATCAAGGTGGGAGATTCTGGGAGTGGGATCAGGGAGGGAGATTCTGGGAGTGGGATC